TTGAGAATTTAAGGTATTTCTAGAACAATTTTCTTTTAACTATTAAGTATCCAATATATATATATATTCATGTAGCAAATCATTTCTATGAAAATCATGACCAATTTTTTATATTTTTGTCTTATTAAAACTTAACTCACCTTAGATTTTAATTCATATATTTGAATTTTATTCTCCTAAGGTAACATTTAAAAAAATATAATAGAAAAAACTTTATGGATCATTTTGGATCACTAAATTTACCATTTTGGAACGAAAATGTACCATGTTTCGGAATGTGAGTACCAATACGTAATTCGCTAGGGTATTAGCATTTTCTGATAACATAGGTTGTGGTAGGGTAGCGAATGGTGGTGGTTGTTATTGTTGTCTCTACTACGTGACAGAATAAGAGAGAGAAAATTGGGTGACAAAAATAAAGTGGTGTGTGTGAGGGTTAATTTCATTTTTTTCATTTTTATTATAAGGGTATAAATCACTCTGTTTGGTTTTGGAGTTTTCAAAAATAATTTTCAAGTTTTCAATTCATATTCTTTGGCTTTTTAATGATTTCTTAAATATTTTAATCATTTATTTATTTTTTTTTTAACCTCTTAGATCCACTTAATCTAGATATAATTTTTGTTTTTCATATGGAATCTAGGTATAATTAAAATGTAAAAAAGTTGTGAAAAAATATTTAAAAAATTCACTGGTCTCATTTGACAATATCACTTTTTAACCTAAAAGTAAAAAAATTACTAAAAAAAAATCAAAAAATCAACAACTTATACCAAAAAATCAAAGATTCTTTTTTCTTTCTACCTTTTGCATATCTTTTCGTAAAAAATTAAAAAATCATCCCAAACATACTAGTTTTTTTACATCATATTTTAGTCCAAAAGCCAAAAAATTACTAAAAAATTTATTCCCAAACGAGACCTAAATACAAGAAAATACAAAATTCAAAACCAGTTATTTTTATTTTATTTTATAGATTCATTCATAGTAATTTTATTTTAATTAAATTTAGATTTAAGTACATCTAAAATATAAGTTTGACTAAAATATAAATAAAAATTCACTAAAAACAACAAAACAGACGAAAAAACAAAAGCTCAAAAATCACTTTTTAAAAACTCAATTCATTTGATAGCTCGAAACCAAGATGGCTCAAATAGCCGGAGTTTAAAACAACGCCGTTTTGAATTTTTTTTTTTTTTTTTTTTTTTCTTCTTCTTCTTCTCTCTTTGAAGATGAAAGACACATAGAGAATAGGAAGTTGGGGAAGAACATGTAAAGTCTTCATCAACAGCAATTGGAAGACTTGTTCAACAGCTTCATCAACATCAACAAAAGTCTTCATCTTCATCATCAACATCATCATCATCATCATCAACACTAACATCATCATCATCAACATCTTCATCAACATCATCATCACAACATCTTCATCAACATCATCATCATCATCATCAAGATCATTATCATCAACATCCAGCGATTTTTTGAAATCCATATCCATCGATTTCGATGAAATCCATCGATTTCAAACCCTGAAAAAAGAAGAAGAAGAAGAAAAAGAAGAAGAAACTAGTTGAGTTCTCTCTCTTCTCTGGTGGAGCTCAAATCGATCAATTTCAGTGTCTCTGGTGGAGCTCTCTCTCTTCTCTCTTTCTTCTCTTTTCCTCTCTCTTCTCTCTCTCAGAGATCTAATAGGGAAAAAAAAAAAAAAAACACTATCCAAAACGACATCATTTTGAACAGTCGGACCATTCGAGCCAAATCATTTTTCGAGTTACGAATTATTTTTCTTTATGGAGGGATCTGACAAATTATATTTAAAAAAATAAAAAAATTGCAAAGCCTTCATCACTTTCAGCAAACCATACCTCTTTAACATATGGGATATATTCAATTGTGCAGATGAACCATGTCAAAAGTGTTTTAACGAGAGACACTTTTTAAAAAACTGAATCAGCAAAAAATGAAAATCAAGAAATTTAGACACATAATTCAAATTTCTAAACTATATACACAATAATATCAGAAATTAATCCAAGACAGATCTAAATCATTTGTTTGATCTAGAAAAAAGAAATTGGCTTCAATACTCGTTAACAAAAGCAACAAATTCCAAAATCTCATCGGTTGGTACTTAAAAAATCAAATTCAAAATGTACAGAGTTCAAGCAAAAGACAGTCGCACACAAACACAGCTGTGAGAGACAAATAACAAGAAGCAATCATACATAAAAAGGACATCATAGTTTTGGCACCCATTATAAACACTAGATGAAACTAAAAACTGTTAATTCAGTAGAGCCATTACACCAACCACAAAGTGATGCCCAAAAAAGGGGGATCAAATTAATTGACCTCTCAAAAGCACAGAATGCAGATAAACAATGCAAGATATTGGTGATCATTGCAGGTAATGAAAATAGAGGAATGAGATGACGATAAAATATTAGTATATGAATTGAACAACATATATGACACGCTTTTTACTCCTATACATACTGGCCTTTGCTATCACTTCTACTTGTTCCCTTTACCTTCGTCATCATTCAAGATGCGATTTCGAAAATCAGCCACCATAAGAGGCAGCCCCTCTCTCAGCGACTTCTTTGGCTCCCAGTTCAAAAGTTCCTTTGCTTTGCTAATATCTGGTTTCCTCTTATGTGGATCATCAGCAGTGTTCGGTTTGAATTCGATTGTTGCACTGGAATCAATAGTTTCTTTGACAACCTGCATTTGACGAAGATAATATTATTATTTTACGCACGCCAGTAAGAACTACGAACCCTCGCCCCAGACATTACTAAAATGGTCAAACAATTCTTTTAGGAATTCAAGGAAGACAAACCTCAGCAAGCTCTAGCATGGTAAATTCCCCTGGGTTACCCAAGTTAAATGGCCCCACATGCTCGCCTTCCATTAAAGCCACCAGTCCATCGACCTGACAGTGAAGAAGAGTTCATTATTCCCTCTTAACATCATTTCAACACTCCACTAGGAAAATTGTAACGACCCCAATGCATACATTAATGTTATATATTTATTTGTGTGAGTTTAATTGCTTAATTATATGCTTAAGTGTGAATATTTGTTTGTTTATGGAATACCTGTTAGAATTGCCGACTTGGAGACACTACTGGGGTTGTTTTAGATTTTAAAGCTATGGGTATTTCAAATATGTAATAAATGTTAAAAGCCTATTGTAATGGATGAAGGCACATATGTAAAGAATGGATGTATGATTATGCTATAAGGATGTTTTCATGTGTGCATAGCTCAATGGATCATCATGTCTTAAATTGCTTCCGCTAAGCCCCGTAAATTATACTAAGATTGATTTTGTTAATAGAGGCCGTATGTAATCTGAGATTACTGGCCGGTCATAACGCTAAACCTATAGGGACGGGTTTAGGTCGTGACAAAAATGCTCTGTCTAAGCCACGTGACGCAGAACGTTCATGGATGATCTTGAAGACTGTATAATTTTATTTGCCTTTGATATTTTATTTATAGTTTAATTTTGACCTGCGTATATTTAGTTTCATATTGTAGGGATTCTAGTTACCAAATAATATTATGATTTACTTTCTTATTTTGAATTAGAGTTTCTAGCCTATAACTATTAAGTCTTTGCATTTTAATAGTTAGATTTGAATTAATAAGATATAGTAGGTTGTGGCCGTTGTGAGATTAGGATTGTGCCCCTTGTGTTCTTCTTTCTCCTTTCTCTCTTTTACCTCTTGACATTTTTGCTCTTCTCTTTTGGAGAAATTCTCCATATATTCTGGTTTTGAAATCACTTGAATAATTGAACAGATATCTTAATAGTCATTTGGCATCACTATACCTTTAATTTAAGCTTGCCAAACTACAATTTATTACCCAAGTTAAATGGCCTCAAAGCATCCTTATGTATCATGAACAAAACAGATGCTACATTAACAGTCTGTTAACTAACAACCCTCGAGTTTGTTTTAGAGGTCAGACATCTTGAAGACAACAAAGGCATTTGAGGTTGGGGTGTATTTCTGTAACTGTCTTCACAATTATAATCAATTGATCTCACAAGATGACATGCAGCTTGAGATATGAAGTCAGGCTCAGGCAATCCATCTTCCCAAACTAGTTTTTCAAAATTCTGCCTTAGGTCAACCATTTAACTCAAAATGCTTTTGCTGTACTACTGCCCTTCTTACAACTGTGAGAATCTATTATTCTCACAACAAGAAGCCCTTGAAGTTATTACGGAAGTTTTATGATAAAAGGGGGAAATTTGGTTCCCCCAACTTCTACGAACAGGAGATAATGAACAAAAAAGGCCTTTGCAAAGGATAATATGGCATACCAAGTCAGATACATATTGGAAGCTTCGTGTTTGTTTTCCATCACCATATACGGTCAATGGTTGCTTGCGGATGGCCTGCAAGAGATGGCACAACAGTAGGAAATCAGTATAAATCTCAAAAAATTTCACCCACATTTGAAGTTCAAAACATAAGGAATTTTCATTTTCAGTATGAATTTTCTGTGTGTGTGCCCGTGTGTGTGTGCCTGGATAGATGGGTCAGGAGATCAAACCTGCGCAACAAAATTGCTTACAACACGGCCATCATCTAAACACATACGGGGGCCATATGTATTGAAAATACGTGCAATGCGCACCTGCAGAGAGCAAAAACCATGATTAAGTCTCTTTAAAATTTGATAACTATTCATAACTCTGCCGAACATCCATCCTTGCATCACATTATATGTTACGAAATTATCGTGATAGCAAATTTCTCAATTATTCCTGATATTCCAAATTTTTCATCAGGCAAATGGAAACCCAATTGCCCCTTGTGACCAAACGATTCCCAACAACCCAAAAATTCTTTCCACAACAGCCAACTTGGCTAAGAAAGCACGTCCATCTTCAAGTGTGCTGCTTTCTGTTCTCTAATTCCTAATTTGCTTTATCCCTGTCAATTCTAACATTTTCCTGCAAGGCCGCAAGCTCCATTACTCTGCCACGGAGAAAAATATTTTTTATTGGCCATAATACATACACTCACCACAAAAATTCAAACCCTCAACCAAGGCCACATGAAGTGAAGATGATGATCAAATGACATAAAATCTGAAGCAACATGTTTGCACAAAATTGAACCAAGGAAATGTCTCGAGAAACAAACATATAACTGAAACTTGGAGGAAAGATAAAAGAAGATTTAGAAGATTTTCACGTGGATTTGTCCATCTATCTATATCAAATGGATGCTTTCTATTCTGAAAAGTCAACTACCTAGCATATAAAAAGGAAGGATGCATGTTAAATTCAGTTAAATTTTTTAATTACAAATGGCTAACAACAATATACAAAATAAGCCACCTATCACATGAGGATGAAAAGTCAAAAGCACATGTACTCATTAAACATCAAAATCTTTCAGGATTAAATATGGTATCTCTGTACCAACAGCAATAAATTTTGTGGGAAAGTGATTGCAACTGGTGAAGGTCCTTACTCTATCCAGTCTTGAGTCTTTAGCACCAACTGTTATAGTGTTCTCACTTCTCAGGTTGCTCTAAATGATGCCTTTTGTACTTCATTACACTTTGGTGTTTACTTTTGTTCAAAGGGTAAGGCCCTTAATGCCTATCTCTATTGAGTTATAAGATCTTACAATAAGGTATTTAATCCATTATAGAATTTTGATCCATAAATAAAAAATATTAGCTCATTTTAGTCCAATTAGTACTGAAACAGTTGTTTAAAAATATAATAATAAAATAAAAAAAACTAACCCACCTTTCATGACCAGCCTAAGTCCAATGAAGCAACCAGCAGTTCGGATGAATTATGCTTTTTTTAACTTCATGACTAAACTTCAAGTACACCAGCAATCATTATAATAAAACATTTCTTTTTCGATTTAAGTCTAAATGAGTAACAAACATAATCACTAACCAGTGCCGTTCCAGTAATACCTCCCTTTAATACGTAATAATTGACTTATAATTAACACTTGAACACACTATTTGCCACAAATCAGGTTATTGGTTTCTCTGTTTATGTATATGGTTGTGCAATGAGCACATGACAAGATGAAACAGTAATAAACCTGTATTGGCTAGTAGGCCCAGTAAATGCATCAAAATGGATGCGATTAATGACTAAACTCAATCATGGGGTCACATGAAGCATGTCCTATGCCCAGAGAGATCTGAGAGTTATTTAAAACAAATAACAAAACATAATCAACTTGATCTGAGACTTTCCATGACTTCAAGTCCTGACAACTTGTGAGGATATGGAAACCTTCTACAAGGGATTTATACAAGAACAAGCCAGCAGTTCAGAATGATCATACTATTTGCAATAAAAATATAAATTTTTAAAACTAAATCATCCACATGTTAAATTCAGCATTGCGCAACATATCACGTACATGTACTCAAACAGAAAATATTACCTCAACACCTGCACCTCGATGATAATCCATTGTTAAGGTTTCAGCCGTGCGTTTACCTTCATCGTAACAGCTCCTAACACCTACATATTAACAATTGCTTTGAGATTATAAACATAAATTTACACATAAAACAGACAAAATGATTTGGTAAGTAGCAGCATTATACCTATTGGATTTACATGTCCCCAATATGTCTCTTTCTGAGGATGCTCAAGTGGATCCCCATAAACCTCACTAGTACTCGTGAGCAAAAACTTCGCCCCAATTCGCTTTGCAAGGCCCAACATGTTTAGGGTACCCATCACATTTGTCTTGTAATCTCAGTCAAGGATTTCAAACAAGTTTGCATTTAAAATTCAACAAAAATGACAAAAACCCAAAAACTCAAAGCAATAAAAAACCATACTTCATACTAAGGATATGATAGTCTTGACAGGATTATACTTGTAATGAACCGGCGAAGCCGGGCAAGCCAAGTGATAGATCTGGTCCACCTCCAACAGTATAGGTTCAACCACATCATGCCTAATGAGCTCAAATCTTGGATTCCCAAAATGATGCATCACATTCTCTTTCCTCCCAGTGAAAAAATTATCAATCACAATCACATCATCACCTCTTGCAAGTAATTTGTCAACCAAATGACTACCCACGAATCCAGCACCTCCTGTGACCACAATTCTCAACCGTTTCCGCCCAATTCCCACAGGAATTCTCGCAACAGCCTTGTTGGCATCACCGTAATTCTTTGAAACCTGATATGGGTTTGACAGGGACTCGCGATTTGAGAGAGAAAATGATCTGGGTATTGAAGAATGGGAGTCGGAAGGGGAGAGGCGGGAGAGAGTGGGTTGAATGATGAAGAATGTGGAGCCAATGAGGATACCGACTAGAATGAAGAGGAGTCGCTGTTCCTTGAGGATGTAATTGATGGATCTGGGGAGAGATCTGGGGTGTTTTAGGGTTTTGGGTGAGTATGGTGGGGTTGTTTGGGTTGAAGGGGTGTGGTTAGCGCTTGATTGTTTGTGCAATTGTTTCATGGTTTTTGTGGTATTGAGATTGAGATTGAGATTGAAATTGAAATTCCTGGAGTTTGAGAAGATTTGAGGAGCTTGGAACTTGAGAGGTATTGAACAATGGATTAATGTCAAAAGAGGACTAGAGAGAGAGAGAGAACAGCAGTTGACCCTGTGACAATATGTTTTGATTTGGAGTAATGTTTACTGAATTGTTATAGATTTGTGGGTGTGAAGAGGAAGATGCAGTGAAACACAGGGGTTAAACTTGAAACAGTGAGTATGGAGGTGTGGGAGAGAGAGAGAGAGAGAGAGAGAGGATGAATTTTGAAAAGGAGGAGTTAGTTAGAAGAAGAAAAAGACTACAAGATCATGCTGAACACAGATCAAAGCATTTCTCCCTCCACCCTACGGTAGGTAGGTATCAGAATTGTGTTGTCTTGTCCCCCGTTTAAAGCTTCGGTTGTCAATTTTATTTTATTTTTAAATTTTTTGTATTATTTTTTATTACGGTTCTGCTGGGTAGTCCGAATGTCCTCTGCTTGGTATCAAAACGACGTCGTTTTGATATTTTTTTTTCTTTTGTTTTTTTGTTTCAGAGGAGAGAAGAACAGAGGAGAAGAAGATGAAGATAGAAGAAGAAAAGAAACAGAGATGAACAGAAGAGGAAGAAAGAGGAAAAAAAAAAAGATTCTTTATCTTGTTCCCCCAGAAGGACAACACTCAGCCTCCTCCACAAAGTCTTCCCCCTTTCCTTTTCTTATTCCCTTCTTCCACCCTATTTTCCCAGTCCGTCAATCCATTACTCATCTCTTTCTCTCAACTTTTACTTTGAGCACAAAAAGATTCATAAACAAACAAGAGCTTGGGAACACAAACAAACAAGACAAATCTTTGAAATAAAATAAAAATAAAAATAAAATAAAAAAACAAGACAAAAAAAAATAAGACGTTTTGAGTTTATCAACAGTCATCATCTCAACATCTCCTACAGTTTATCAACATCATCATCACAACATCTCCTACAGTTTATCAGCATCATCATCGCAACATATTCATCAACATCATCATCATCAAAAAAAAAAAAAAAAAAAGATACAGATCTGATTCAGATCTAAATCTCCGATCACCGCCATCACCGTCAATCTTCCTCCTCCGCCGTCACCGTCTGCTTTTCTTCCTCCTCCTTCTCCCCCATCTTTTCTCTTTCTTCTCTCTTCCTCTTCTCTCCTTTCTCTCTGTCTGTTTGTGTTCAAACAAGAATAGGAAAAAAAAAAAAAAAAAAAAAAAAAAAAAAACTCAAAAAAAAGACAAAAAAAAGACAAAAAAAAAAAAACTCAAAACAACACCGTTTTGGGTTTCGAGCCAATTCAAGCCAAACGATTTCGGGCGCTCAAATAATTTTCTTTTTATTAAGGGAATGACTTCTTTCCAGTCTAATTACGGACTGGAGGTATTGTTTGGCCCGTATGGATCCACTACGGGTAGCTTTTTGATAATCTGAATCGTTCAATATGTAGAACTCACTGAGTACTATATGTTTGTAAAAAATCACATTAATTGGATATCAATAACCATGTGATCAAATCAGTTTTGTATAAAAACAATTGACAGTGAAAAATAAATGGCTTACAAAAAACTGATTTGATCACATAGCTATAGATATCCGATCAACGTGATTTTTTCACAAGCATATAGTACTCGACGAGTTCTACACATTGAACGGTTCGAATTATCAAAACAGGACCCGTGATGAATCTCTATAGACCCAACAGTACCTTCCAATCCATCAGACTAGACGGAGGCCATTTCCTTTTATTAAAAATATAGAATTTTACCCTATGTGGTTTTCTGGCTTGCAGTAAGTAATTTGGTGTTTTTTGAAATAACAATGCTTAGTATTCGAATTTTATGGTCTGAATGACTCGAATGTCTCAAAACGACGTCGTTTTGAGGGTACAACGACATCATTTTAGAACATTCAATTCATTCGAACCACACAAATTCAAGTTACAAGTATTTTTCTTTTTGAAATATAGTTACATTATAGCAGAGACGTGATATTTGGTCATTAGTGCTGTATTTAGTTAAGTTGTGTTTGGTTAAAAAATTTAATAATTTGGTGTTTTTTGAAATAACAGTGCTTAGTATTTGAATTTTATGGTCTGAATGACTCGAATGTCTCAAAACGATGTCGTTTTGAGGGTACAACGACATCATTTTAGAACATTCAATTCATTCGAACCACACAAATTCAAGTTACAAGTATTTTTCTTTTTGAAATATAGTTACATTATAGCAGAGACGTGATATTTGGTCATTAGTGCTGTATTTAGTTAAGTTGTGTTTGGTTAAAAAATTTAAGAAGAGATTTAAAAAAAAAGAAAAAGAAAAAAGTAAGTAAAATATGAATAAAATATACCTACATTTCACTTAGTTTCGTACACTTTTTTTTTTTCTAAATCTCTTCCTAAATCTCCCAACCAAATGCTGCATTAGGGAATTTGAAAATGAATTTGAAAAAAAAATAAAAAAGATACGTAAAATATGAATAATATATATATATGTATACTTCATATAATTTCATATATCTTTTCTTTTTATTTTCTAAATCTCTTTTCAAATCTTCAAACTAAATACAAACGCCATGTAAAACTACTAAATAATTTTTCATAATATTCTTATATTTTCACTCTAGCATGACACATCAGTCATTACACACTCCAACAGCGATCGAGGTTGTTTTGATAATTAAAAATTCAATAAAAAAACACATAAAAGATTTAATCCTTGTTAGATTCTAGCATTTGGTCACAAACTCAACAAGCATTTTTATTTATTATTTCGAGGGTAAATTACAATAAACTCATTTTTAGCTATTACATTTTTTTTTTGGATAAGAATTTACACAAAATCACATCATATATAAAGTATGTGATATATTTATTGAATTCTTAAGATAATAATGTTGGTGATCTCATTTACACTTTACCAATAAAACGAGGGAGACAAGTTATAAAAAATGAGACTTTTAGCGACAGATAAAAATCCCAAAATACCTTAAACCTTGTTTGCTTAGAAAAAATTAAATGATGGAAAGTGAAAACGATAAAAAAAAAATAAAGCAAAAGAAAAGAAAATATATTTTTTCATATAAATTTGATTAGGATGAAAATTTTACAAGAAAATAGAAATTATAATTATAAGTAACTACTTTTATAATAAATTTAAACTTTTATGTATTTTTTTGTATTTTTTACAAGAAATTGGAAGTTTAGTAACCTTATTATTATGAATTATACAAAAAAATTAATTTTTTTATATCTTCGACCACTTTCATGCTAAACAAACTTAGGAAAACTTTACTCTTTTTTTTTTTTCCCATTTTTTTACTTTTTATCATTTTCATCGTAACTAAATTGAGCCTAAAGTATTAGTCTTAAAAAAATCAATAACTAGTATAGTTACATCATAAAATCATTAGAGTCATGACGCACACGACCTGGGCCTTGTTGGGAAACTTAACATTTTTGTTATTTTGTGAGATAAAAATAAAAATAAAAATAAAAAAAATAAAAAATTATGTTTAAAATGATGTGTAATTTTTTTTTTTTTTAATTGAATAGATGATTGTAAGAAGAAAAAAAAATTATTGATTGAGGCCGAATTGTATATCATTGAGGCCGTTAATTAGGATCTCTTAACTTTACTTGCTTGTCAAACTGTATACTTTATGTGTGTTTAATGTCAATCAAGTTGTACATAGTCGGAGCATAAAATGGACAAAAAGACAAAATTTTGAGCGAAAATAGATTCTCGCACGTGCGTTGACTTTTCTGGGAAAACGTGCTCGATGTTTTAAACCTGTTTGAAAGACAGTAGAAGTATAAATATGAAAGAAAAATGCTGGATTAGGGTTCTGAAATTGTTTTGACAAGGAAAGAGAGGCTAGGGTTTCAAGAGAGGATTTGCTCCAAAAAGCTTGAAGGACACTTCCATGGGATCTTCTTCATCATCTTCTTCCTCTTCTCACTCCTCCATGAGTGGCTAGTCTTCTTTTCTAGAGTTTTGATGAAACCCTAGCCATATAATTAGGTTTTTTTTTTTTTGATTTTCAATTATGTAAAGGTTTGAACATTTGTATGCTGTTTTAGAAGTCTCATATATATATTTTCTATTATTTCTTCAAATATTTGGTTTTATGTGATTGTTGAGGTGCCGTTTGGTAACACTTATGTTTTTAGTTTTCTGTTTATATTTATAAAAATTTAAAAAACTCAAATAAAAACTTGTTTGGTAAATTTTTGATTTATAAATCAGTGGTCTCAGTTTATAAATTTGGCAAAAAAATGAAAACACATAAACTCAAAAATGTTGTTGTCCCGTTTTGAGTTTGATTTTTTTTTTTTTTCTTTTTTTACTTACCCAACACTAGCGCACCACCCGCCACGCATATAACCAACCGTCTTCCCACCATCAACCACCCACCCTCCACCACCATCTCACACCTACCGTGCCACCACCACCACCACTCGCCACCTACCACCCACCAACACCCCCACCACCCACCTGGCCATAATCACGACATCACACTTATCTCCCACTTGCTATCCACTTGCCCACGACCCACACGCCGCCAATGCCATCCATCGCCCGCCGCCGCCACCGGCCATACCTGCCACGACCACTCACTAGCCATCGCGGTGTCACCACATCCACCACCCCACCACCACACCCCACTCACCTACCAGCCACCTGCACGCAAATTTAGGGGCCGCCACCAACCCAACCTACCACCAGCCCACCTACCACCACTAACGCATGCACCCACACCACGTGCCCACCCACCTGCCACGCAACCACTCCAACCACCCACTTCGACCAAACCACCCACTCGCTATGCACTCGTCACCGTCACCCACCCACCTACTACCACCACATGCCCCATCGCTACCCACATGCCAACCACCACCCACTGGCCCGCACCACTCCCCACACCACTACCACCACCCACTTGTTACGGCCCACTACCCGCCACTATCACCCACCCACCTACCATCCGCCACTTACCTGCTACCACCACTCCCCACCCCCCGCCACCACCACCACCCACTCGCCACCACCCCCTACCGTCACCCACCCATCCACCATAACCAACCGCTACCACCACCTACCCGCCACCACCCATCACCACCCGCCATTCGCCACCCACCTGCCACCAGCACCCACCACCCGCTACCATCACCCACCCATCACCACCACCAGCCACCTACCCACCACCAGCTACCTACCGCTACCACCACCACCCACTCGCTACCACCTGCCACCGTCACCCACCCACCACCACCCGCTACCCACCGCCCACCGTCACCACTTTTCACCACCGTCTTCCCCCACCACTTGCCACTTCTCACTCTTTTTATATTTAGATTTTTTTTATAAACATTTTGTCAATTACCAAACGTGTTTGTAGTTTATGTTTTTCTAAAAATAAACAAAAAATAAATAAAAATCAATTTATAAAATTTTTGTAAATATAAACTGAAAACGTAAACGTTGCCAAACAAACCCTAAATGTTTTCCATACAAAAGTTTTGTATTCTTTCACATTCAAGGTATGAGACGGACCATACTACAAGGGACGAGTCGTGTCACTACTCTAGTTTAGAGTGAACGATTCGTACTACTTGAGATGGTTCGTGCTCGTACAGTGAACGTGATGATTTTCTTGTTAAATGCTTTGAACTTGTAGTTGCAAAGCATTATCCCGTTCGAACCATAACATAATTGATTTCAATTTGAAACTCTATTTACGTGACTAGTGGTGGACTCTTTGCCCTAAGTTTTTTCCCAAATCAGTAAATTCAATTTTGTTTATAATTGATAATTAATTACTTAGTTTATTTTATTTGTTAATAAATTAGGTTATGAACAATCAATTTTTTCATCAAAATTAATTTAGGAATTTAACAATTAAATTAGTTTAATTTCACAATTGTCCTTGTGGATCGATACCTGGACTTACCATTATTCTAAAAGAATTTGGTATAGTTTTGTGTTTAATTTTGGTGTGTTTAACGACCCATCAAATGTTTTATCTTATTAATTAATTTATTTTTTTTTTAATATCTTAATATCTATTCTAGCCAAAAAAAAATTCTTGCCAAACACTCCCTTGATTTCGTTTTAATCCCAGGTAAGACTGCAAATAAACCGAGTTTGCTCGCAAACTAACTCGGCTCAACTTGTGAAGGGCAAGACTTGGTTTGGCTCTTATTTTTGTAAATAAGTCAAACTTGAATAATCTTAACTTATTTATCTTTAGAAAAATGATTTTTTCCTCGAAAAATGATTTTTTCCTCAAAAAATCATTCCCCCGATTCCCCCGTTTTTTTTTTCCCTCTCGTTTACATTTGAAGAAGGGAAAGGCAAGAGAGAGAGAAAGAGGAGAGGAGAGAGGGAAACAGAGAGAGAGAGAGAGGCCCCTCCATTCTGCCGATCACCCAGTTGATCGTCGGAAAGAGACAGGGAAAAAGAGAGAGGAGAGGAGAGGAGAGAGGGAAACAGAGAGAGAGAGAGGCCCCTCCATTTTGCCGATCACCCAACCGATCGCAGCTCGGCCCATCATCGCAGATCGCCCGGCCAATCGTCGCAGCTCGTCCGCCGTCTGCTTCTGCCCGGCCGCCGTCTGCCTCTTTCTTCTTCTTCCCTTCTTCTTTCTTCTTCTTTTTTCTTTCTTCTTCTGCTTCTGCTTCTTCTCTGATTGAACCAAAACTAAAAAAATAAAAAATTTCAAAACAACGAAACGACGTCGTTTTTTAATTCGGGGGGATTCGGGGGCCTCCATTCGAGCTACCAATCACTTCTCTTACTTTTATTTAAATTTTATAATAAATATATTATTTATATTAAATAATATATATATATATATAATAAAAAAATTATCGAGCCCAACTTAATTTGTTTATAGCCTTAACCCCGAGACCGAAACCTAATACAATTTGTTAGGTGTATTTAAAATAATAATTTGTGATAGTTAATTATTGCGTTTTGAAGCTAAAAGAAATGAGTTCTATAATTTAAAAGAGTTTGCCATTGCCATGTCAATGCAAAAGCAGTGAATAATTGCTCCACATGTTAATGCTGTCAGCATCTGTAATGCCGGTCAACTGGCATGTCTACTTTCCTACTTTGCTCAACACAGTGGCTTTCATCCGGTCCGTGATCGGAGAGTGCTGTAAAATTTGTATTACGAATTTTGTTTTAGGGATTGTTTAGGATGATCTAAATAAGTATATTTTTTATCTTTTTATAAAAAGATGTATAGAAAAATAGAGAGGTAATGTGATAAAAAAAAGATAAAAAGATAGATTATTTTGGTGTTGCCAAACTTGGCCTTAATAATTTGAATTATTTAATGTATAAAATTTATCGAGTATTATATACTTATAAAAAATTATGTTAATCCGATATTAATAGTGATATGATAAAATTAGTTTTCTGTCAATCGTTTATTTTTTTACCGTCTATTTTTTTTATACAAAACTGATGTGATCACGTAGTTTTCGATATCCAATCAACATGTTTTTTTTACAGGCATATAGTACTCGACGAGTTCTACGCATTGAATGGTTCGGATTATCAAAACGGGACTCGTGATAAACCCTCACAGGCCCAACAATATCCTCCAATCTGATCACGGACGGAAGGAAAGCCTAACCTTTTGCTTAAATATCGATATAAAAAATGTTTCAGAGCTCTAATTGTGAGCTTTAGGAAAACTCTAAATTGTGGGTCATATTGTGTGATTTGATATTTTAGCCTTTATTTGTTTGTTTGTTTGTTTTGTTTTTTTTTGTTTTTTTGTTTTTTTTTTTTTTTTTTTTTGTGTTTTCACACTTTTTTGTTTCTTTTTTTTTTTGTTTTTTTTTTTGAGTTTCCACATCAATAAAGCTCTGATTAAAACTGTACTATTAAAGCTCTTAATCATTACTTATATGCATATCGCTCTCCCTTAAATTACCCAATAATAACTAAAGGAGTGTTGTAACTTGGTAAGTAGGGGTGTAAATTTAGCTCATTAGCCCATGGTTCACTTAAAGTCCGTTTGTGGCCCATGAGGTTTGGTCCAGACTTGACCCAATTCAAAATCTTAGGTTTGGGTTTGGACTATGTGTTTTGAGGTTTGGTTCTAAAGTCTGATCTGGGACTCGACCCACACGACCCGTCCATGGCTCACTATCATTTCAAAACTATTTTGGAGAGGAAAAAATTTTTTGGTAGAAAAATATAAAAATATATATATAAATAGCCAGACCCAGCCCAAGCCCAATCCTAGGCCCATGCCCGATGGCCAACCAGAGGCTCGAGTACCCACTAAGCCTGGGCTTGGGGCCTAGGCTACAGTTTTTTGCGAGTAGGCTGGCTTGGCCTGATTTTGGAGGAAGGCTTGACAACAGGCTAGCTTGAGCCTAGGCCCGGCCATTTTTACACCTCTATTGGTAAAGCCTTAAGGCATAAGCCTTGAGGTCCCAAGTTCCACTCTCCTCAGGGCTAGCCACCAAAACAACAGCATATATAGTTGGTAAGACGAACACTCTAAGCTTGGGTGCACCGTACCCAGTGTTAGGTGTATGCGTTTGAATCCCCGCCCATGTGCAAGTCTATAACTTACCGCTACATAATTGAGTGGTCCTACCATATAACACCACCTAAGGGGTAATCTTTGAGCTCTCGGCTCCTTAGGGTTTAAACCTAGAGGTCACCTTATGTGATTACGCCTAAATTACCCAATAATGCTACGTTCTTTAATTTATCACCCCTAATGATGTGATATTAAGATTAGATTCCAAATGATGAAATGTTTGACAAATCAAAATTTGACAATTGTAAGACATATCATTAAGGGTGATTTTTAAGGTGATAAATTAGGTATTTCAAACATTTTTCACAATCGGCTAGTTGGCATATTAATTCCATGTAATTTGTGAATTTATCACAAATTTAGTAGTAGGGGTTGTTTGGAAATAAATTAAAATAATATATTTATTATTTTTTTATTTTATTTGAGTCACATCACTTTTTATTAAGTTATATCACATATTTTTCTTTTTTGCGCACTTTTTTATAAAAAGAAATAGATTCTCTAAGGATTCGTTTGGAAATAACTTTTTTAATCCAACTTTTTGGCTTATTTAACCTAGTTAAATTAGTACCGTTTGAGAATAATTTTTTTGACTTACTTTTTTTGTGAGAAAAAAAATGAAATGATTATGATTTGAATGTGATATTTTGTTTTATTAATTTATTTAGCCTATTTTGCCTTTTTGTACTTTTTTAATCTCAACTGACTTCCAACTAAGTTGCCAAAGGAAAATGTGACTGCTGGTGATTTAAGAGATGTTTGGTAATTGGTTAAAACAATTAAAAAGTCAAAAAAAACTATTATAATATAAATATATTTTCTCTATTTTTTTATATATATTTCATAAAAAATAAAAAATCATTAAAAAAAATTAATTCTCAAACAAACTCATAATTTATAATTAATTCTACCATATATATATACATATAATAAGAGTTCCATTTGATTTGTGATTTTTTAATTGAAAGAACCAAAAAAAAAAAAAATCCAAAAGGTAATGTCAGTATTATATACATTAATCAATTTACTTTTTTCCTTAAAACTTATCTATTAAACTAAAAAAATATTCCAAACACATAACATTTTTCATCTCATAAAAACATTAAAAAAAAATTAGAAAAAAAAGCTACCAAACGTGCATATTAACTATTTACAGTAACTAATAAATTATATATATTTGATTTGGTTCCAAAAAACAAAACTACTAATCAAACCACGAAATGAAATTCATCTATTTTAAAAACCAAAATCGAAATAAAATCCGTCTATTTTAAGAAGCAAAATCAATCAAACTGTGTATTGAGAAAACCAAACCAATCTGATTTGCTATTGATTGAACCAATTTACAATTTTTACAATTTTTTTCTCAGCCTAACACAATCAACAAGGGGTAAGTAACCAATCATTCTTAAGAATCTTACAGATCAATAACTCCAAGTGGTAGCTTCATCATTATTATCCTTCATCCATGTCTTACAATACAATTAGGCCATAACTAATATTCAAAGTAATCCACACAAATCTGATAACTAGTTATCAGATCTGACAGCTAACCATTCCAAAATTATGGAAGAACATCACAAAATGCACAACCCTAAATTCATGTATAAATATTTCAAATCTTGGTGTTACTTGGTATAATCTGCTGGCCGTGGGACACTCTGCCATCCTGTACACTGTTGGAGAACTTTTTTCAGAGCATCCGTTGGAGCTTCGACAGTCCATGTGGGGTAGTATTCACTAGGATGAAATATATTATCTGCAGTTGCCGTGGTCAATAAACTGCCTTGAGTTCCATATAAAAACACGTCCCCCTCGGACTTTATGCAGCCAGTACTTGCTTCTTCTTTGTCAGTAGCCTATGAAACAGAAGAACAATTCCATCAGTTTTGTAACAAAATGTAGATGATCTCATGTCAATTGCCAGCATCTTCACAAGGGCAATTTCATATTCATGAGAGATACATATCTAAGTTTAGAAAAGGCTTCTTCACATCAACTGATGGATTGGACAGGGGAAAAATCATAACATTTTAAGAAACTAGAATTATACAGAAGTTTCACTGTTTCAGCATAATTGCTACCATCAATTTGATTGATTCCACATTAAATTTCAAAATCAGTAAGAAACTACACATTGTCGTACAGAATTTGCATACCTTTTGAATGAGATTCAGTACCGCAAAACCATAGATAATAATGGTGAACTGTTTTTTTCTAATTGAATGAATGTAATGAAACAATAAGAACATCACAGTATAAGTGCAGTCTAGACAGGCACTCAAGGTGGATAGTTGGTATAAGCAGCAAAGAACTTAAAAATAGCACGGTCAAGATAGCAACAGATAATAAGAAATAAAGTGGCACTCATGAAGTTGCATGAAGTAGAGGACATGAAGTGCCTTACAGTAACTAGAGAAAGTACCAATGAAAAGATGTATAAGCTATATGCATATAACGAAAATTATAGAAATACTGTATAAATATTCAAATACATCAATCACACTGATCCACATCACCTTAATGAAATATAAAATGTCATGGAATATATATTTTTTTTAATTATAAAAGCTTTGCCTAAATTGCTCACCTTACCATATTTTGCAGCAGAGTTTCTATTTTCTAATTGGTTTCCTTCAATTTTGTATGTTTGACCAATTTTTCCAAACTCTTTTCAAGTCCTTCACTTCTCTTGTTGTATTGGTTGATTCTTTTTTACCAAATATTTAGAATCAACCAATACAACAAGAGAAGTGAAATTCCCTACCTAAAGTGAGGAGTTCCCTATCATGGGATGAAATTTTACCATCCAAAGCATGCATTCGCACTGTTTCTTGAAGCAACATAAAGAAACTTGTACCATTAATGAAACAATTTCTTGAAGTCACTAATGTCTTCATATGGAGTTTCAGAATGCCAAGATAAAACAAATTACCTTCTCTGTTAGATATTTGAAAGCCACCTTCTTCTGTCCTGCTTCATATATATTGCATTGTGAATATATCTGAAGCCAATAAACAACATGTTCATAAGAAGTGGCCAACCATGTATAATATCTTTAACACCTTAAAATTCAAACCAACAAAAAAGATGAAAGAGGAGGCAGATGATGAAGAAAGCAGCAGCTGAAAGCATCTTTACCTGTGATTCTACACTGGCACATACAGCATAAATGCCCCAGTTTCTGGTGTAATTATTATATAAATGTACTTTCCCAAACCTGACACGAGGATGCCGCTGTCGGGTACCATCAAAAAAACAATGGTGAATGGTCACTCGAATACATCTGTCACCAGTGTGAGACGGGTCTGCTCCAATGAGCATTGTCTTGTCATGCTTTGAAAAGTGACATCTGAATACAAAGATTTAATGATTAAAGACATGGGTAAAAATCAACAGTGATTTCCTAGTGTGGTAGATTCAGCTCACCTAGAAATTGTAATATCTGTGCTCTCTCGGGTGATATCTATCAGTCCATCATCATAATCAGAGAGGCTGCAACGGTCTATCCATATGTGCTTTGACTTGGGTTTTATCTGAATGCCATCAACATCAGGTCCTCTACCACCTTCAAACTCTAGATTGCATATAATTACATGTTCACATTCCTTCAACCTCAAACCCTTCCCTGTGAGTTTCATCCTTTGTCCTCGTCCATCAATGGTCTTATAAGATGACACGTTCAGATAAGATGACAGACCAATAGTTCCTGAAACTTCAAAGACAATCCATAGAGGTTCTTTCTTGCGACAGCCTTCACGGAGTGATCCTGGCCCATCATCTGCAGTAGCATAAAAATGTGCACTATGCTTGCATCACAACCAAATACAAAGTGCAGAAAACCTTTTCAATAAAAGAAAAATTACGAAAAAAGAAGGGGAGGGTTCCCATAAATTGAAGTTCTCAACAAATCAAGAGGATGTTAAATAAAATAAAATAAAAAGTTAATGGGAACTACGGTTGACAAAGAAGATAACAAACTACAAAATTCACTTTGACAAGCGCACTAATGACAGGATACAACCAATTCCTACATAAAGATTCATTGAATCAACCTCTCAATATCTGAGTTTTCAAAGATTTGACACAGCACATCCCAATATCGTTCTGTGCACCTTTGCCAAACCCTTCAGCCATACACTTTCTCAGCTAAGATCCTTTCAAAACCCAATCTCTCAATGAAAACTTTTCATTATTGAGAATATACATAAGTCACAATCCAAGAATGTCCATTGCATCACACAAAGTTCGTAACCCAAAATTTAGCCAGACAACTGTTGAGATTGTTGTACATGTGTGAACTACAAGACTGAATGTTACTTGGCTTTGACACAAACTCAGGTGCCTAAAGGGATTCGGTATGGTGGTTCTCGATGAAATGGTGATTCTCAATGGAGTAACAAAAATCCAGGGTTGACTCTCATGTCTAGAAGCCTCAGTGGTAGTCGGCTTTGACAAAGACTCTCGAGTAAGAAAATTCAGGCGGCATTGGAACTCTTGATGGAGCAAGAAAAAATGTAAGTGCTGGATTGAGTGGAACGGAGCTCTTGATGGAGTGGGTGTAAGTGACTCACAGTCCAAGCTTGGACAAGGTGTGGAGAGTGGTAAATGAACTTGGATGATCTATGGTGAAACTTTCAATTAGGAAAAGAGTGGTAGAACTACCAAATTTGGTCTCATCAGGCCTACTAGTCTGTGATGTAGTTTGTGTTCAGGCAAATATTGAGTTTAAGGACAAGCACACCAACGCCGGTGGCCAAATAGTGTCCCAACAAAACCATAATTCCCTTCATCAAACTAAAGTATCCTTCACAATTGGAACATGATCCGTTTGCGCTACCAGTCTAACACTACACAACAACATCTCAATCAGATATAATTGGTTGACTTCTGTCAAGTTGAATTATAAAATTTCTTATTGATTTAAACTATTTCCAAAACTTGTTCACATTACACGGTATATACAACACAAAAACAACAATCAACCAATAAAAACGCCCACAAACAAACAAAATTAGCTCCCAAACAGAACATATTGCAATAGTAAATAACACAAAACCCAAATAGTATGATCCTACTCCACTTCCAAATATTTTAGAACTACCCTGACCCTACCATGTGGATATATTTCTACAAGCATATGCATACATTTGTGTATGTATTATATATGGGATTAATTATACTAGTTATCCCAAAGTATATGTTAATTACACTTTAGTTTGTAATCTTTTAATTGTTTCACTTTTGGTCCCCACAATTTGTGATCGGTTACACTTTAGTCCTTCCATCAAGATTGAGAAGGAGTATTTTTAATAGGGTCATGTTAAACAAGTTTAAAAATATTATACATATTGCACTCACTTTTATGCATGCAGAACATACAATCTTTTTGGACTTCTTAAAACTTAAACAAACTCCTTTTGAAATTTTACAAGAAGCCTCAACAAATTCAAAATAGCCAAATACATACCAGTCTAAAATCAAGCATTATGTAACATTTTCATTCCTAAAATATGTATTTTGTTTCATTATAAAGCATGCACTTTCTTACCTTTATTGTCCCTAATCTTTTAATTTTGTTACATTTATTTTTGTAAAATTATGAAAACATCCTGATTTTGAAGGGACTAAAGTATTAACATATTTTGGAAACTAAGGTGAAACAATTTGAAAATTTTAAAACTAAATTAAAATATAATACAAATTTTTGCAGACATTTACGTAACTGGATTTAGTTTTTGTCAAGTTCAAAAACTTGGGAGGCCTGTGAAGCCCACCCCAAGTCACGCTTCGATAATTTAAATCGTTTAATTTGTAAGATTTTCAATTTATAAAGAGTCGCTATTCCCACTCTATTTTGCTCCAAATACACTTTATTGTTTGTCCTTATTATACATAATTACATTAACATCCTTGGAATTTTAATTTTTTCAGAGGGTATTTTTTGCTCCAAATACATTTCATTTTTTGTCCTTATTATACATAGTTACATTAATACCCTTGGAATTTTAGTATTTTTTCAGGGAAGTGTATTTTGTTTGAAAGAGTATTAATATAAGCATGTATAATAAGGAATAAGATGAAGTGTTTTTGAAATAAAGTGGAGTGAGAATAGGGGGTCCCTTTATAAATCCATATGATAGTCGTAATCCTATCATGTTTGCTGACAAATAAATGGAAAACTATGTTTTTCAAAATAGACCAACTATTTTTTTTTTTTTAAATTTAAAAACAAATACGATAAAATGAAAAAAAGCTTATCAGATTCACATAATTTTTGTATCCCTAGAAATAAATGATTTAAATCTATTTTCAAAATAGGACACTCAAATTTTTTAAAAATTAAATTTGAATGTGAGATAAATCCAACCCTATGAAATTAACCCATATATATACTGAAAAAAAAAATACCAATTTTTTTTTCTTCAAAATTTTAACAATAAGTAACGAGGAACACATTGCAACAAACTATAGGGTTCAAATTGTTTAAAAACTACAACAGCAAAGTGAAACTTTACTAAAATTACAGGGACAATAGTGTAATTCACTCTTTACGTAATGAGTAAATTACACCGTTGGTCCCTCTATTCTATTCTAATTTAAGTAAAGTGTCGCTTTAATCCCTACAGTTTCAATTTGATTAATTTGATCTTTATACTTTCAATTTTCTTACAATTTGATCCCACCATCACTTATCATTAGAATTTGATATGAAATACAAAACTAGAAAGAGAAAGTGAAATTAAAAACAAAACTAGAAAGACAAAGTGAAATTAAAAACAAATTGTAGGGACCACTGTATTTATTACAATGATGGACCTATAGTTCTTTTTAAATTTCACTCCAATCTTCTAATTTTCAAAATATTAACCACAAATGATAGCACGTTGCAACAAAATTAAAAGGGTAGATTGTAAATTGTTCAAATTAACACTATGTAACTAAAGTGACAGTTCATTCAAACTAGAGGGACGAGTGGCGTAATTTACCCTTATGTAATTAACCCAGAGAGAGAGAGGGATGAGACCTGCTAAAGTGGTGACATGATAAAGGGGACCTTGGAGGCCACCGATAGCAAGGCGGCCGAAACCCTCGGCTTGGCCGGCGAGAGCTCGTAAGGAGGAATCGACGCGCGCGTAAGGCAAAGACAACGACGACATAGACGACGATGAGTCCGTGATCTGAGGAGGAAACCCATGATCTGAGGTTCCCGATTTATAGGGCGGAACTTCCGATTTCCCAGGACGAGGAGAGGAGTTAGAGCCGTGACGGTTCTTGTGATGTCTCCTCGAGAAACAACCGTTGTGGTTCCCCATTGATGACACAGAGAGGAGCTTTAAAGCTCAACTCAAACCGACAATCTCTCTCTCCTCTCTCTACACATACACTCGATGAAATAATGAAACCGACCATTCTCTCTCCCGCTATGTAACCGATTTGGGAAAGGTAAATACAGGAAATGACTTTAGCATCTCCTTAATTATTTAACAGTCTGAATAAACGCCACTAACTACCAACAAGTTATTCCATCTGTCAGTCATACAAGCAACCTCCCACCAATGAGAATAATATAAGGATAAGCTACTTTCTAGTTAGATTTTCCAATTAGAGGCTGATGTGCCAACGGCATTTAGAAATATGATCGATCGACATGTTATTAAAATTTCATCAACGTGATTTTTTAAAAAATATGAAGTGTGGGGATGTATTTTCTGAATACCAACACGTGATATGGTGACGCCGACGTATCAGCCGAGGTGCCACGTGTCCTGGTAGTTAAGCCGAGATGATCTCGGAGTTGCCGAAGTTATCCCCGAAGATATCGGAATCCGAGATAAGCAGATAAGGGACAAGAGTCCTAAGGCAAAGAGGGGACTTAACCAAGATAAGGATAAAGCTCTTAGGGAGTTTTATCTTTATCTCTTATAGAGTCCAGAGTAAAACAGTAAATTGGAGTTCATAAGAAGTCATACTTCTAGTGGGATTTGGATTGAGTATATTATAAAAGAGAGGCACCCCGTGGGTCTAAGGTATGTAATTTATGTTTTGAGTATTCAGTTTAGCACTTGATTATCTTTGAGAGATATACTGACTTGATCGTCGGAGTGACCCCGGGTGAAAGAACCACCGCCGGAGCTTTTTCTTTCTGTTACAGGTTGCTAAAGCCATCTATTCTGCCTGTGCTCTCCAGCTGATCACTAAACGGGCAGTGTGGTCAGATTTTCACCCACACATGAAGTATTTGACCAGCCCCAAAAATTAATCGGTTCAGATTATTAATACCAGGTCCATAGTGATTCACGGATGCTCAACAATACTATCAAGTCTGATATGGACCGACAGAAATTTGCTCACAATAATATATGAATGAAAAAAAGTTAGGATAAATTATACTGACAATTCTTGAGATTTCTTTTTAATATAAATCTTTTTATTCATATTTGAAAAATTACACTTACCTCTCTATTATATTAAAATAATATATTTATTCTTTAACCTTTATACATATAAAATAATAAAATAATATTAATATTTTGTTTAAGTCATTTCAATAGAAATAACAATTATCTTCCTTAGTTTAACTCATACAAAAAATTAAGGGTATGTTTGGTTTGTGTTTGAGAGATGTGTTTTAGAGATAAAAAGTACGAAAACATGTTTGGTTTGGTTTTTTTTAAAAGATGTTTTGGAAAATTATTTTGAGATAGAGTTTTGGAAAAAGTGATTGATTTGATATGTGTGAGAGAGAGATTTGTTTGGAAAACTTGTTTGGTTTACAAGTTTTGAGAAATTTTTTTGGGAAAATTTGTTTGGTTTGATTATTTTTGAAAACTTGTTTGTAGAGAAAATTTCCCAAAATTTTTTCAGAAAATCAAACCAAACGAGCCCTAATTTTTTTTTTTATTTTTTGTGTTTTTTATTTTTACTATTTTTTTAAATATTTTCAGTAATTTTTTTATTTTTTAGCTACACCTAACCTATATATACTTAACAAGTATCATATTTTGTAATCGTTTGGTGAGATGAGAGATTTGGACCGGACTGTACGGCCGAGCTACGGTAACGCAGGTTGGTCAAAATCTCACGGTATCGAGCTGTGTTCTCAGTTGGTGCGGCCCCCGACCTGTCGTGTACATCCGAAGGGATTGGTCAACTAGGCATGGATTGAGGCCTGACCGAGCTATGATTGGGAAGGCATTCGGCTGGACGCGCAGTGATTTGAGGTGACCGAGCTAAGGCAGCTCGGGATAGACTCAGGGCGAGGTGAGAGTCGGCATGCCACCAACCGATCAGCCAAGATGGCCCAGCTTCATATAACCAAGAATGAAGGTAGAATGGGGAAAGGCCGGCATGCCTCGCGGCCGGTTAACCAGGACTCACCGGTCCTACGCAGCTCGGCCATGAGCATCACACTCTTGCCCCTTGTCAAGGGACAGGTCGGCGATACATAGCTCGGTTTTGTTATTTGTGGTGGCAATTCTTCACAAGGAATAGGTCGGTCGCGGTACTCCGGTTGAGTGTGCTACCTGGGCCAATGGCGTGAGGGAGAGGAAATCTGCTCCAAGCACGCGTCAATTCCGTTTGGCAGTTCTGTGTGTACTGGTGGGAGGACTAGGCCTTTACACGCGTAAGGTGGTGAGAGGCGAGCACTGCCACCTGTCTAGGGAAGGACAACAAAGGTAGTGTGCGCACAATCTTGAGGCTGCATGGCCAGCCTAGAAATAGGGGTGGAAGATGAACGTTAGAGGTAAGCAATTTGCGCCATATGAAACACACTCTCTCTCTAACAGCCTTCTTCTTCCTCAAGTGATCTGACTTGATCGTCAGAGGGTCCATCCAGCACACCACCGCCGGGCAGCTCACCATTCTCTGTGTTGCCAGGTTAGACGCCGTCACGTGAAACTTGAAGTCCAAGGAGTACGGAAAGCAGTGGATATTTCGCATGGCCAGCCTAGAAATAGGGGTGGAAGATGAACGTTAGAGGTAAGCAATTTGCGCCATATGAAACACACTCTCTCTCTAACAGCCTTCTTCTTTCTCAAGTGATCTGACTTGATCGTCGGAGGGTCCATCCAGCACACCACCGCCGGGTAGCTCACCATTCTCTGTGTTGCCAGGTTAGACGCCGTCACGTGAAACTTGAAGTCCAAGGAGTACGGAAAGCAGTGGATATTTCGCCCTCGTACAATTGGCGCCGTCTGTGGGAAGCTCTTTGATACTCAAACCTTGTTTTTCAAGCTTCTTCGACCATCTCCATGGCCAACAACAACGAAACTCCACTGTTCGTCGTTGATGGTGTCACACCAGAGTCTGTCCGACGGAGAGAAGGCCCCCCGAATGTTCCATCCATGGCGGGCCTAGAAACTTCTTCGCGAGGTGCGCGAGACAAACGCGGAAGGAGTACTGATCGCTCGAAGAGTCCAGATGGCCGCCGACGTCGGAGGGAGTCTCGTGCGCAGCGCCTGGAGCACAAACTCAAAGACCAAGATGCCCTCATTCGCAAGATGGTGGCGGAGATGGAGGTGCTGAAGCGCCAGATTAAGGGAAAGGGTGTTGCTGGAGAGGGCAACCTTCAGTGAGCGCACCCCGTCCCCTTGTTCTAGCAGTCGCCGCCAGGAGAGGACTCACTCTCTCTCCATCACCAGGAACTATGGGGTTGGAGATTCCGACCAAAGAGAGGGCAGGTCCCTCACTCGTGACAGCACCTACCGCCCCTCACGCCCGTCGCCAACGTCGCGATACTCTTTCTCCACACGTTCCAGAGACCTGAGGGATGTATTGGAGGAGAGGGGGCGCCGTTGAGAGGCTCAGAGAGTGCCGGCGTTGCAGAAGTTGAGCGCCCCAACTCATTGTAGCGAAGAAGTGGCGATGCAAGCGCCCAGAGCGATGGCCCATGCGCCAGTGGACAAAGAGCTGGCGAGACTTACAGCCACGCCGTTGTCTCCGGAAATCGAGAGTACACCACTCCCTGTCGGATTCCACCAGCCTAAGTTCACCTTGTACGACGGCAAGACGGATCCGTACATGCACGTGAGTCATTACCGGCAAGTAATGGCTGGCCATCAGGGCAATGACGCCTTGATGTGCCTCATATTCCCTGCAAGCTTGGGAGAACTGGGCTTGAAGTGGTTCGAAAGGCTCCCGGAGGGGAGTATCAAGTGGTGGCAGTAACTAGCGGAAGCCTTCGTTACCAGATTCAAAACTAACACTTGAATGCCGAAGGAGGTCGATCATCTTCTGGGCGTCAAGATGGAGTTAGGAGGATCATTAAAGGCATACAACGCGAAGTACTGGGAAACTTACAACGAAATCCTCGACTGCCCTACTAATCTGGCAATCACTCAATACAAGCTGGGTCTCCCAGTCGGACATAGGCTGTGAGATTCGCTCACAATGCACCAACCCACAACCATGGAGTCCTTGATGTAGTGGATCAATGAGAATATTCGTGTGGAAGATGATGCCGCATCCGCGACCGAGAAGGTTAATCCGGTTGCAACGGACAGAAGGGTGGCAGGGAAAGTTCACTCGGTCAGGCAGGAGGATAATCGCCCACGCGACTGGTCAAAAGATCAGCGTCGTGGCCCAAACCGCGATGACAGAAACAAAGGTCACAGAAACGACCGAACTGACGCTCAGCGTGATGCAGAGGAGGATGCCAAGAGAAAACTGAAGGCGCGGACTGGAATCACCACGGTCTTTAAAATCCCTATCTACCGCATTTTGAGCGAGACCCGAGGTGAGCCTTTTGTTCGCTGGCCGGCCAAGTTGGGAAGTGCACAGAGAGGCTTCAATTCAAAATATCGCTGCACCTTCCATGAAGAACGGGGGCACCAAACAGAGGACTGCTTGCCGCTCAAACAACATCTGGAAGAGCTGGTGGCGGCGGGGCATCTTGACCAATTACATAGATGGGGGTATGAGAGCCGCCCCGCATGGACAAACCCAAACAAACGGCCTAGCCGCCCTGGACGCGGCGCCGCAAGGTGTAATCAACGTCATCCATGGCATCATTGAACCAGCGAGGGTCTGCGAGCTTAGAGGGATGATTAAGAAAGCCGAGTACATGAGGGAAGTGCTCTCTATCCAGCCCGCTGTGAAAAAGGGAAAGACCGAGGAGAAAGACATCCTTACCTTCTCAAGCGAAGATTAGGAAAGGATCCAGATGCCCCACAATGATGCCCTAGTAGTAACTCTTCGCGTCAAAGACTTTGACATCAAGAGAATCTTGATCGACCAGGGGAGTTCGGTCGAAATTATTTATTATGATGCGTTCAAACAAATGAAGTTGGAGGACAAGGACTTGGCCCCTGCGACGTCCCCTTTGGTTGGCTTCAACTCTCAACCAGAATGGTCGATCGGAAAGATCATTTTGCCGGTCAAAGCGGGTTCAGTCGTAAAGCAAGTGGAATTCTGGGTGCTCAAGGTTCCATTCACTTACAACTTAATTTTGGGCAGAGGCTGGTTACACACCATGCGAGCAGTTGCGTCAACCTTCCATCAAGTTATGCGCTTTTCGGCACCCACCAGGCAGATCG